ATATTAATAAATGAGTGAGATATGACACTACCATAGAAAAAAAAAAAGATCGATTTATTGCTGAAAGAATATTTAAGATAAGATTGGGATTACTTATATAGAGATAGATCTGATTTAAATCAGAAAAATCCTAACCAAGGTTAAAGAGCTTTTGACTTTCTATCACTAACTAGGATAAACTATATAATTTCTATTAGTTTTAGTCAATTATTCTCTGTTCTATTATATCTGATAGCTATTCCAAAGGTGATATTTTCTATATTGATATTGAATGACACTTTTTAAAGAGATTTTATTCTTAACAGTGACAAATAGAGTTCTTCTTATTATTTTTTATTAATTGTTTTAAATTGAATAAGAAATAAATCACACTGATCTACTTTTGATGCTTTTACTAGAGTTAAATCAATAATTCTAATGATAATAAATTTTTGTCAAAAATGTTTTTTTTTTTTATAGAATTTTTTTCTTTATGCTTGTGTAGATTAAAGATATATTGTGCCTTGAAATTTCTACTATAAATATAAATTGAATATTTTTTAATTGTTTTGAAAAGGTATAAAAAGAAAAGGCATTGATTGATTGATACATTGTCCAACATTCTAGATGAGAATGAATAATAAGAATGATAAATTAATCAATCAATATAGATATATTAATAGTAGGACAATCTTCGATTATTTGTTTTTAATGAAATGAATATGTAATTCGAAAAAATAATTTGTTTTCTTATTTATTTTTCACATAATATAACCATTCCATTGATTATAATATTCAAATAGTGATAAGAGAATTTTTGATCATCTTATATATATGGTAAACAAACAACAAATTATCTTTCAACTTCATGCAACAGACGAAATTTTTTTTTTAAACATTTCTATAAATTATTTGAGAGATAGAGATTATTAAATGGACTTAATAACATGTTTAGACTATTGAAAAATTGATTTTCTAATTGAACATGATAATCTATTCTATAAAACTAAATTTTTATGAAACCACTTGTTCGAAATGAATAGTCTTCATTGTCATTGGAAGATAATTATAATAAAAGACTTTTGATAGAAATTCTGTAAAATATTCTTTTAATAGATTTTTTTAATTTAATGTAAATGTTTACTAATAGAAACGAAGAAGAAACGGCTCTATTGATAAATATAGAAGACTCTAATAAGACAAAAAACGAGAGATTTATTAATTATTTTCTCTTTTCTTATATTATTTGTCATTTATGGTAAGAATGATCATAAAAAATCTATTCTACAAGAGAAAACAAAGAGTTTACCATGACATATAACGAATATAGTAAAACAATAATAAATCTATTATTGTTTTCATGTCAGTTCAGTTTTGTTTTCGATCAGAGAGACTTTTCTAACAAAATGTCTAAGTTTTAAAAGAGAAAATTATGGCAGAGGTTAAAAAAAGCATATCTCTATGGAAGACTTTATGAAATATGTTCCAGGGAAAAATTTCAAATGAATATAAGATTGGTGATAGTTTTATATTCTTAGTGATCATATGTTTATTTAACTAGTCAGATTCGAAAACGAAAAATTTTATTATTAATTAAATTCATCTTTTTAAAACATTTTCTTTTAGGTTTCGCATTACACAAAATTGTCAATTGTTTAGTTTTTTTCTATAATTGATAAGAATTCGTTCATTCTTTATATTAGAGTAGAGTAGATTGAATAGTTTTACACATCAAAGAGTGTTTTTAAAGTTTTGAAATATTCAAAAGTCTTTCTATATCTCAAAACGAGAAATAATGCCAAAGAAAACGAAACTTTTTTTTTATTGAATTGAAATAAAATTTTTTTTATTGACATACAGATTTATTTTGATAGATTATCTCTAAAACATGCGGATCAAATCTCAAATGGTTCGAATATTTTAATAAGGTACCTTGCTTCGTATTTGTCTATACGTTTTTTTTTGTCATAGTCATATGAGAATGGACTTGATTTTATCGAAATCAGTATAAAATCTTCATCATCAAAATTACGATTATGAAAATCTTATTTAAGAGTTTGGATTTATATTCATATAAAGATAATTTATAAATTTCATTATAAATTTAAATAGAATAGTTGTTTATTAGATGTTTATTCAACAACTCTTTATATTATTCCCTTGCCTATCACATTGATGACACTTGCCTGTAGGTTGCTGCGGGCGAGGAGATCGAAAATGAGGTTGAATTTTTCATCTCACCTTTCGTTGCTCGGAAACGTGATCAATTCTAAAGCAGCTGTTTTCTGTTCTTTTTTGGTAATAATAAAAGAAAAATCTAAGAGTGAGTGTAAGGATAAAGTTTTCTTTATTAGTCAGAGTAATTTTATTCGAAGACTTATCAATGGAGTGCCGAACAATTCTGATTCGGTCTTTTCTATTTGTTTTTCTGACCCTTACATTTGACTACATTAATTCTTTCATGAAAACTTAAGAGCATTCAAGGAGCAATTTATAAAGAAATAAATCTAAAAGACTTTTGTGGAAAACGGACAATTTTTTATACGAAAACACAAGCATCTGATGGACACACGATTTTCAGCCATTTGTTCAAGTTGTAAATCAAAGAAAAAATGTCTTCTAATTCGGATCTTTCGAAATTTTTTTACTAGAGTGATATTTTACTGCTAATCTTATAAATAACTTGATTGTTTGACAAGATTCATTATGAATAGAATTAAGGATGTCAGTATGGATATAAAATTTCTCTCTACTCATTCCGGAAGTCAACCCTCAGACGGCAACAGTTTGTTTTTTGTTATATGAAATCTTTATTATGATTTTGAGCTTTTACATTTAAGAAAAGTAACAATGAGAACAATATGTCTTTTATTATGCTTAATGAAAAACAATTATAATAAAATCATTCATTTTGTGAAACTCACTTATATTTTCGAAGAAAATAGTAAGTCTATGTTTTAAGTTTGAGGTTTGGTGGCTCCCCCTCCCCTCTCCCCATCCCATTATAGACACATAGCAACCGGAAAGAGAACATTACAGACATACCCCAATTATAGACATACCTCCCATTACAGACCTCAGCAATCGCGCACAAAGGCTATAGTTTTTATATAATATATAAATTGTTTGATACGTATTCGAAAAAAAGATATTTTACAATTTAAAAATTAGGCATCAGAATAAAAAACTTTGAAAATATACGTGAGTTCCACATTTTAGCTCCTTTGGAGCTGCACTAACAAGCTTCTTTTTACTGATTAGTTTTGTGTGAAAAAATTTTAAAAATTTTTAAAAGATGTCTCTAAAGATTTGAGTATATTTAAAAAATCAAGGTTATACAAAGACGGGGAAATCGCGAAATTTCGTCATGCACCGTCACCGCCCCGCCGGCGAGGCGGGACGGGGCGGTGTTACACCGCGGCTCGTCCATCGCTGTTGTGAATAACTGGTATGCAGAGGTAACATGGTTTTCCTTCATGCTGATTGTAAGAAGGAACATTAGATAACAAATAAAAAGGTTAACATGTCTTCGGATTTTTCTATGCTACAACATAAATATTGAACCTCTTGAAATACAGCAGAAAACGTTGAGTTTTAGGATGTTGCATGATCCTCTCTACTTTTTTATTCTCTGTGAGTTTAAAATCCGCCACAGCTCTTCATCATCATATCTAAATCTGAATCATGTAAAAGTTTGATTCCAAAATCCACGCTGGAAAGTATTATACTCTATGAAGTTATAGTAATTCACATAGGACTTAATTCTATAGGCGCAACCTATGTCATTAAGCGATCAAAACACTTTGGAAGTCATGTCTAGCTCTAATCTGCGAAAAACGATTGAGGCTCTAAAACCATTGAAGGTATTTGAATTCTAATGAGGAACAATCTAAGCGCTAATACGTTCTAATTTATTTCGCTCTACCTTTTACTTCTGAAGAAGAGTTGATCCCTAGGCATTGTGGATTATTCAATCGTATACATGTTTGTCAGGGATAATCAGAATAAATATGATGAATTCAGTTGAGGGTCAAGTGAGTCGTACCGACGAACGTTACTTGTCCCTTAGTGTATACATACTTTACTCTATCAAACACTACGTTACTCATTCAGTTTTATATTTTCATACAAATCAACTTCAATTTTCTTCTCCAAATTTATCAAATTATTATCATCATCTATAGTTTTCGGTCTATATCGTCTAAAACATGCTGATACGACGTAACAATTTCAAAAAGCATGTGATTAATAAATCTTCGCACCCAGCCAAAACTTCCATCTGCGTGAAATGATTTTTATTTCTAATAAATAAAAGATATTTTATTTGTTCTTTCACATCCATGTCATCTGAGTCAAATCAGAAGATTCAGCATGTTTGACTGTTTTCATGTCATTCCTGTGCTGTTTGTCTTCTTCATTCAGACAGATTTGAACAGGTGATAATTTATGAAGGATATAGTAGAAAACACTGCTAATAATAATCCCCAGAAAAAAAGTTCAATTGATATATTTTGGTCACAAATGATGTAACATGTGCACCGACTGCACCAGCAAAACCAAAAACATTTATCAATATTCCAGCAATGCAAGCAACGTATGCTCGCCAATGAATACCATACGTATAGTAATACAATCCCTTTGAAGACGCTGAATAAAGTTCGTTCGTATCGAAATACTGACGTCGAACAAAATAGTAATCAGAAAACATTACACCAGCAATTGAACTAACAAATGTTGAATAAGGTGACAAATAGGAGAGAAACGATGGAGAATTCGAAAGTGATTTCCATGGACAGATGCAAAGACCAACTAAAGAACATATACAGGGTGGACCATAAGTAACCGAACAAAAACGTTATCTCATAATAAGGGACACCGATAATTATTAATGATCGTTTTCATACTTTTTATTGATGTAGAAAGCTGAAACTCTCAGAATTCAAAGATCCTGATTAGATATATGCATGATGAAAATCTCAGCTCTGTACATCAATAAAAAGTATGAAAACGATCATTAACAATTATCGGTGTCCCTTACTATGAGATAACGTTTTTGTTCCTTTACTTACGGCCCACCCTGTATAAGCAGATCGTCTAATATTTAAATCTTTTGGACAAATAGCTGTTAAATCACATCCAGCAGAAATACTATTAGCAGCAATATTTACACCCAATTGTGCGAGACAAAATGAAAGTGAAATACAAAATACACCAACACGTGTACCTGATGGTGGCGTATTGTCTAGAAATATATTTAAGCTCTAATGGATTCCAAATTTCTTTTCTATAGATAACTTTTGATGATGATCCAACGATAAGACCAAGAAAACTAGTTAAAGAAAATCCTACATGAATTGTAATCATTTGTGGCCAAAATATAATTGATGATCTTGTAGCAAATCTAGTATAATCAGAAGTATTGACAATCATTGTAACGAAACTTGAAATACAACTCATTATCGCAGAAATCCATGCCCATCCGCGAACACTACTTTCTACTGTGGGAGAAATCATTGACTGATGAAGAACTGGTTAAATACCTTTAGCTGCTACAACAACCCATATAAAGAAAAGTATGCCAGCAATAGGAACAATAATTGCTTTTACTGTAAATAAATGACGCATCTTTTGAATTGGAAACCAAGGTCCAATATTTGATAATGACCAAAAGATCATAAATCCAATAAAGTCTCGTGTATTAGTACCGAATGATATAGGATGTGTATTTCGTATATAATAATACAATGGTATAATTGCACGAATACAAATGACAACACATTGTCCATCTATCCATGCCTGTACTCCATACCAGACACATGCCATTACACCTCGATTTAAAACAGGCCAAAAACTACCAAAAATACCAAATGATGCACGTCCAATCACAGGAAATGATATGTTATAGATAGCACCAGTTTTGCCTGAAATACAGATAAATACAGCAATTATTGTATAACCAATCCAAATACAGAGCCATGCTTCCCACCAAGACATACCACTATCTCCTCCTATAATAGCACTGATATCCATCCATGTACCAATGTTGATCGAATCTGATAGCCACAATGCAACATAATTCCAAATACCCCAACAACGTCTTGAGGGTTCAATCATAGATGGAACCGGTAGGGTTTTTTCCTTACCGGTACCGGTCTAACTGGCCAGACAGGACCGGACCGGCCGGTATACCGGTATGAGTCATGTCTTTCTTCTAATCACTACAGCTATGATATAAAAGTACTATTTCGCCACTACAGTGCTTTTTACTATTTGTTTTCATATGTTTTCTATTTCTCGATATCTATTGGTAGATAGAAGTCTTCATACGACTATAAATTCTATGTTAGTTTTGTACTTTTATTAACTATTCCTCAGATATGGGCACTATTTATTACTTGTATACTTAATCTACCTTGCGTGCTATACTCGCTTTGTCATCTATCATGTCTGTGAGGAATATATGCAATAAATAATAGGAAAGACAAATAAATCTATGATAAACTACAATGCTAAACAATTATTCGGTTTTGTTTGAACAACAGAACGTCATATCCAGATGGATTGGGCAAATATAAAAACATTCCATGACAAATTTTGACTTAATAGGATAGTTTGATACAAATTTTTTTACCAAAATAGTCTTCGACATTAGTAAAAACTTTCTGATTTTCGAAAAAAAACACCTTTTTTGTTCATTTTTTGGAAAAAATAGGGGAAAATTCAAAAAAAATCCAGACCGGGCCGGTAAGGAACACTCTACCAGCCCGGTCTGCCGGTCCGGTTACAACTATGAATCACACCGACTAATTCAAAGTGAATTAAAACAGAATTAACGAATAAGTCATCTCAAAAAAATGACTTGAATGATAATGCACCAATCGCATTGCTCCATTTGTTTTATTTTTTTCCGTCTGAATGACCCCTAAGTGAGAAAAGAAATAACTTTGTCTGCATTTTCTTCCAATGAAATAGTTCATTGATTGATCAATTTCGT